AGAGAGAGAGAGAGAGAGAGAAAGAAGAGTGGTAACAAATCATAGCCAATCTTTGAGTATAAGGAGATGTTATACAATTTTTAGAGCACTCCATTTGTTTTTCTGTTTCTTTTGTTCTTTTTTTTTCTTTCTTTTTAAGTCAAGAGGGAGATAGGATAAGTTTCCATTATCTTTTGAAGGGACAATATGAGGTTGTCTTTTAATTGCTTTGTAGAAAATTATAGGTACTCTTCACATTTCAGTAACTTCTGAAGTGTACACTTTAACTTGTAAACCAGTCAGGCTGATTCTCTCTCATGAGGGATACAATTATGAATGATTGCCTTAAATGAGAAAAGTAATTTGGAGGTGTATCTGCACAGGAGCTATGTTGTATCTATCCTGACCTTCATTCCTTTTAGATACTTGCAGAACTGAGCTGAGCTTTCTGCATCTCTGAGGAGTTAGAGTCATCTCACTACCAGGAAACGTTCAGAAATGGAAAATAAAAGCTCTGAGAAGCAGAGGGAATCTTAGATGCTTATCTTTGGGGCCTGGCGCAGGATAACAAATCTCATTTAAACTTACTGGGAGATTTGCTTGCCTGTGAGAACATGGAGAAGGGCTGTTCCCATTCCCAGATACACCCCTGGGAGAAATGACTAGGTGCCTACGGAAGCGTGATACTGGTGGTCACAGAAGAAGAATCGCTTCAAGAGTGAATGGACATATCTTTTATTCAGAGTTGAGACAAGCTAAGCAGCTATTGAAATATATGCAGGAAGCTTAAGTATGTGAATATTAGTAAATAAAAAATGATGTAATTTGGTCATTATACACTGCCATTTGGGGTAATAGCGTTTCCGATCGGGCAAACTGGATGCGCTGAAAAGAACCAGTGTTTCTGGGATGTAAGGAAAAACAGATGAACAAGTGGAACGTAATGGGTTGAGGTCCTGGAACTATTTTCTTATCGTTAGGTTGGATATGTTTTTCAGTACATCTGCCAAGAGCATGTATAACACCAAGTACTTGGGAGTAATAATGATATGTCAATGTTGCTTCATTCTTGTAACAGAAGCAGGACTCAAGAATAAGAAAAATCTCCAAATAACTGTTCGGTGAACCCCAAACTTCTTTTGAGTAGTCTATTTTTAAAAGCAATGCAATGCTAGAGATATTATATAAGAAACATCGTATAAAGTAACAGAAAGTGACTCATGGCAGTAGGCTTTCTAACACCAGGAGGTAGAAATCAGCCAGAGAGAGACAGGAATATATGTTATAAGTGAGGAGATGGATGTTCTCTGGGCCAGTCGATGTGTAACAAATACTTTGGGGGATACTTTCCAGGATCATTCACCATTTATTTCTCATGGATCCTACAATGATCAACATGAACAGTATTTTCCATCATCAATACACCTGCTTTCCTGTAGTCTGGCTGAGACTTAACATCTCTAGCTAAGAACCAGTTGCCTGGAAAAGAGCTTCATTTAGGGTATAGATGGGAAGTACATGATGGTGTTCCTCTGTCAGCTGTGCAAATCAGAGAGGCTGAGAAAGAAAAGTAAAACTACACAGAAAACAAGCAAAGAAACCAGCAGACATATGAAGCAAAAGTCAGTACGTATCAGCTGTCCCCCCCTCCTGTTTCCATTAGATCCCTCCACTCTAAACAGCCTCTGCCCTTTTTGTTTCTCTAAAGTGGATTAGGTAGGTCACAGTTCAATCCTGAGTTACTTCTTCTGTTAGGTAGTTATCAGTTCATGGTTTACATTTCCTAATGTACTGAATATATTATTATCAATATATCAAGCCTGTAGAGTCATTGATTCACCCAATAATATTTAAAAGGAGGAACTTTATATGAAGCAAGATATAAAATACATAATTATTGTGATTGTCCTTATTGCTGTTTACTTGTTCCTTATTATTGATAAGTCTCAATGTTAGCACAGATTGTCACTTCATGTCAATATCTCATGATTATTCACAGAACAGAAAATGGGTCAAAATGTGAGCCAATTTCTGAAGCAGATATTTCATCTTTTGAAAGAGGGAAACTTAAGTGTAAATAGGTTGTGCCGTTGTTTTTCTAGGAAAATGATTCCCTGTGCTGTTTTGATGTATGCAGCAAGGTCCGAAGAAGCTTGTTAAGAAAGAATAAGAAAACAAACTGCCAGACTTATACATTGTAAGTATTACATAAATGGATAGGCTGGTGAGAGCCAAGTTTCACATCAGTGAGAGATAAATTTAAATATGAGAAAAGGCTAGAATGAGCCCAGTGTTGATGGATTAGGGTTGAAGATGTCAGTGAAATTTAATTTAGTTGAATGCAGAAACATTGAGGAAAAAATGCATAGCTAGTTATTGAGAAACATGTTAAGCTAAGTATATTCCCTTGATTGGTCGCCTGTGATTATATTTATATATATATATATATATATATATATATATATATATATATATATATATATATAATATGCAAGCACATCCTAGCAGAAGCTCTCAAATGTGTAATCCTATCCTCTACTGAAAGAACCAGAGAAACAGTGGGATCTAGAAGTGGGCTCAGGAAAAGTGTGGAAAGGTATCTTTCATTGCTGAAAAATAGGAAGGTATTGACTTGACCATGTGTCTTAGTCAGCGTGTCTATTTCTGCACAAAACATCATGACTGAGAAGCAACTTGGAGAGGAAAGGGTTTATCCAGCTTACACTTCCACATGGATATTCATCACCAAGAAAGTTAGGACTGTAACTCACATAGGACAGGAACCTGGAAGTAGGAGCTGATGAAGAGGCCATAAAGTGTTGATACTTACTGGATTTCTTCCCCTTGCTTTCTTATAGAACCCAGGACCACCTCCCAGGAATGACACCACTCACAGTGGTCTGGGCCTTCCCTCTTAATTACTAATTGAGAAAATGCCTTACATCTGGATTTCATGAAAGCATATCCCCAAGGGAGGGTCCTTTCTTTCTGATAACTCCAGCTTATGTCAAGTTTACACACAAAACCAGCCAGTAAACAATGTTGATAAAGAATAGCAGTGGGACATTGAAAACATCTAAACATTTGTGCTACTGCCAAAGAGAGTATAACTTAATCAATAAAATAAATGACATAGTCCTGGATTTTAGAATACAGTATAGAAGTATGTACATGAGTACATACTGATCAAAATTATCTAAGTAATAAACAGGAGAGAAGATAAGTCTTGCATGATAAGAATTTCTAAAACTTACAAAGCTGCTCTGCCAAAAAGGAAGTTGTGCATAACTCATTCCTTTCTATATTTGGGCTGAGTAGATTACTTCATTCCAAGTACAGTATGGGAAGGAGGAAAAGGTAGACCAAAACAACATTGTGGTCAAAAGCCATGTAATAGAAACATGTGACAGGATAAAAAAATAAATTAGTCTCTGCCACCACTCTTCATGGGAGCATTATTTTCTAAATGCCATTTTAGGTTTACAATGCAAAATTCTTTATGTCAAAATATCAAAATGGTCAAAACCAAAATACAAATCTGAGAGATGGGAATGGCTTATGAGGTAAAATGCTTGTGGAAACTTGAAGATCTAAGTTTCTTTTCCAGGACCCATATTAACAAACTGCCAGAGCACTATGTGTCTACAATCTCTATGCTGGGAAGACAGAGACAGGGGGATTCTATCAGTACTTTCTTGCCATCTTCCATATAGTCTACCTATCCAATGTCTCCTAATCAACTAATCTATCAGCTTTGAGGTTCAAATGAAAACCTCAAGAATAAAAATATGAAATAGCCCCTAGAAAGATTGCAAGTATGGTTACTGTGTCACATGCATGTCAATAGGTGCCATAGAAGAGACTATGCCTATGCACAGTGTTCTGACCTATGAGCAGCTGAATGATAACTAGCCTAACATTCTCTGGAAAAAGCAAACTGGTACCTGGGCTGCGTGACAGGGAGCTAGTTTGAGACAACCACCTAGCCAGGATTGGGCTTGCAAGGCAGGGAGGGGGCCAAAGACTAGAAGACTCTCTAGTGGTACCATAGGCCTGGGCAGAAGTGAGCCCTTAGAACACAGCCTGTCATGTGACCACTCCGGTGAGCAGGACAAAGAGCCAGCTAGGAGCCTCCAGACACACAACCTACCATGTGACCATCAGATCAGTGCCATGGGACATGGACTGACACGATGAACAATCCAGCATTGGTGAGCAGGATGGCCTGAAACGAACCCTGCCCAGTGTGGTAATGCAAAAGTGGGGCATAGCACTCCAGAGATGACCCCAGAGAATCAGAGAGCCCAGGTAAGTGGTAGAAACATAGAAGAAAAAGAAACTGAAGAATGTTGGCACAATGAAGAGAGGCTCAACTGGAAACTTGAGGTTAGTGAAGAACAGCTTGATATGAGTAGCTCATTGGTGTCAACTAGGACCATGGTGGGTTGATGTCCTGTTTTGCCAGCAGAGGCCACGACTAGGTATATGGCCATGAAGCAGCAGGGCTCTGTTAACACCAAAGGCAAGGCAGACAACCTATGTCTTGGAGGTCATCCAGGGACATGTTGATGTCTGAGGTGTCCACCCTTCACCTGGGCATTGTGAGAAAGATGGTCCTAGGAGCATGAAATCAGGAGAGCTGTCGAGACCCCTAAGCTGCATTCAGGGGAGCAGGCCCTATCCCTAGCCTAGGCAGTAGAGCTGTACCAGTGAAGGGGTGTAGACTGAAGATTCAGAGAGGAGTTATTAAAGGTAGAGGAGTGGAGCTCAGAGCCATTGGAGAATGGCCAAAGGAGTTTGAGTAAACTTCCTAGGTCAGGACCGTGCTTTTAAAGTCCTTGAAGGCTAAAGAGCAAAGTGATAGAGACAGTGGGACAGGAAAATCAATAGGATTGACCTTTCAAAACCTGACTAGAAAGTTATTCCTCCATCCAACTGTCTTATTTCCCACTGAATAATTCATAAGAACCAGGTAATGGTATTAATGCCGGAGAGTAGATTATATTCAGAGTATCAGTCATCTCTCTTCCTATAGATTGCCCCAGTGCAAACTCATAGCACCTCTTGAGCAAAACATGAAGACTTCAGAATTTTATATCATATGCTTACTGTTTGCAGGAAGATTTGCTCTCCTTAATTATAAAATTGTCCTTATATCTAGAAATAAAAAAAAGAGAAGGGAAATTTTTCATTTAGTGTGTACAGTGTTCCAGGATAATATTATGTCAATCCATCCTTGAAGAACCTCTGATGAAAGTGACATCAGTTGCCATTTCATAGAATTGGGCCATGAAGGTCCAAGATAACAGATATCTTTTCTATATCACATGAGCACAGAGTTGCACTCTCTCTCATTCTCACCATTCTATCTAATCTACTGTCATATTGATCTTCTTACAGCCCACCTATCAGCAGAGAAGCTTATATTCCTTGTACGGAACTCGAACTTGTTGGTAGTTTGCTCTCCTCAAGCTGCCTGCTTCTCCATCTCTTTTGCTGCCTGGCATGCCACTTTCCTTTCATCTCTGCTGCAACCCATGAACTTCAGTCACCACTGCGGTATTTAGTAGCACTGCGGTTCTTTCCAGGACATTATGTATTACTGGTCTCTGAAAATACATCTCTTGAAAGATAGAAGACTATAGGCTCTCTAATAAAGACAGTGTCACACTATCAGCAAAACACAACTCTGTGCTGGTTAATTCCAAACAGCCTTCTAACAGTGCTCTCAGTTTGCAAAATAACGTGGCAAATCAGAATGTTCTATCTTAAGGAAAGTAAAAGAAATTATGTTGATGAAGATAGAGCACTTCTTTGCGGGGTCAAGCTTGATCTACACTGTGATGAAAGATTGCAATGACCCAAAATGTTGACAGAATGCCTTTTTTCTAGATCATCAGATACCAGTTATTGGTATAATTATAGCTAAGAAACAAGCTGACTGAATTGGCCATCCATGGTCTATATATGGAGAGGAAAGAAGGTTGTATTGTTTATTTTGACTTATATAGCTGTGTTTTGGCTGAATAGCCAAGTAAGTTAAATTATGGTTTCCTTGCTTTGTTGTTAGGCCATCTAACAACATCAACATATGTGGTATTTTAAGGACCACTCAGCAAAATATAGAGAGCCTTCAACTACAAAATCCTTTGAAGTTATCATTTAATCTGATGGTTTTAGGTATCATAATTATAGAAATGTTTCCCAAATCTTTATCTTAAGTTATTGTTCTTTTCTGGGAATAGCACTAAATGTCTAACACAAATTAAGTATGTTTCATACCTTTCACCCCAAACCACTCCTCCTCTGGGCTAGATTGTACTTACAAAATTGCTGTTAAAATTCTCTTAGGAACTAAAGCTTAGCTCCTTAGTGGATGTTCTAACTTACCTCAAATTCTTACCACTCACATGTAATTTCTTTGTTAAATTATTAAATCTTTTCTTTATATGTTTCTAACTTTCCACATTATGACTTCAGAAGTTTTATGCATCCATATAAAATTTAAGATTTTTAAAATCAATTTCTGTGAATTGTTCTGGAGTTTTATAAGAATTGCATATATATAGAACAATCTATATAAGAGTATATAGATTGTTTTTGATACGATGCTCAATATTGCCTTATTATTCCTATCAACCATATGCATGGTAAATCCTTCCCTCTTCTGGTGTCTTCTTCAGTTTCTTCAACTCTTTATTAAGTTTTCATTATACAATCTGTCACTTGCTTGGCTAGAGTTATATCAATATATACTTTTGAGGCTACTCTGACAGGTAACATTTTCTCGATTTCTTTCTCATTATGATTGTCACTTGTATGTCTCAGTATGATTGTCAACTCTTGTGATACAAACGTTTTGTGTATTAATTTTGTATCCTGCTACTTTGCTTGAAGTCATTATTATCAACTGTAATTTCCTGATGATTCTTCTATGTACAAAATAATATTATCTGCAAATGAAGACAGTTTTACTTCTTTCTTTCCTATTTTTATTGTTTTGATCTTCTACAGTTGTCTTATTGTTGTGGCAAAGATGTCAAATGCTATATTTAATACATATGAGAAAGTGGACATACCTGTTTTATTCTAGTGAAAATGTGTTGTGTTTCTTTCTATTAAAAATGATACTGCTATAAGCTTTTACAATTGCCTTTATTATGTTCAAATATATCCCTTCTATACCTAGTCTTGCCAAAATACTAACCTGAGGAGTTAATGCATTTTGTCAAGGGTTTTTTTACCCTAATGACAAGATCATATGGTATGTACCTTTCAGTCTGTGTGTGTGTGTGTGTGTGTGTGTGTGTGTGTGTGTGTGTGTTAGAGTGTATTTGCTGATTTAAATACATTGAACCATTCTCTTATCTCTGGCATGAAGCCAGCCTGATCATAGTGAATATTTTTTTGAATGTGGTTGTGAGCATTTGAGAATTTTTCCATCTACATCCAAAAGGAATGTTGTTCTATAATTTTCTTTTTCTTTTTTTTTTTTTTTTTGATCTTTGTATGGCTTTGGTATCAAGGTCACATTTGCTTCATAAAATACATGGCAGATGTTCCTCTCGTTTCCGTTCCGTGGAGTAATTTAAGGAGTATTGGTGTTAATTCTTCTATCAAGGGTTTATACAAGTCTGTATTGAGTCTATCTGGCCCTAGGCTTTTATTGGTTGACAGATTTTTAATTACTATTTCTATAACAATAGGTGTGATGGGGCTGTTTAAAATGTTTTTTCATCTTGATTTAAAAAAAAAAGGTAGGTCATATTTTACCAAAAAATCCATTTATTTATTTTAGTTTTTTGTAGTTTTGTGGAATATATGCTTTTTCAAGGATATTCTTAATATTCTTTGAATTTCCTTAGTGCTTCTTTTAATGTCCCTTCTTTTAGCTCTGATTTTATTAATTTGAATCCTTTTTGATTTTTTTTTTTTTTTGGCTAAAGGTACTGAATTCTTTTCAACGAAGCAACTCTTCATTTTATGACTCTCTTGTTTGTTTATATTTCTTTCATTTATCAGGATTTAATTATGTCTTTCTGTATTTCTTTTTGGATATAATTTCTACTTGTTCATATAAAAATTTCAAGTGCAACGTTATCAATAAGAAATCTGTTAGTTTTTTAAAATATGTGTGTAGAGTTATGACCTTGCCACTTATTATTGCCTTGAGGCCCATAGTTCTGGGTATGCTGTGCTTTCACGTTCATTCTATTTTAAAAAGGTTAAAATTTCATTTTTATTTTCTGTTCAGCTTCTATGAGTTTGTATGTTTCCTACTAATTCTGTTCCTGTTGATATCTAGCTTTAATCCAAGGTAATAAGAGAACATGCCAGGCACCATTCAATTTTCCTAATTCTGCAGTGACTTTCTTTGTCTTTCTATTTATGATGTCTTTTCATCCATTAGTGAGGATTTTCTCTGAGATTTTTTTATTAACTTTCTGAATTTTTTATTTCCAATTTCACTTTAGATTGGGGTTTTTAGTGGTTCTATTTCTTCTCTACTTAAATTCTACTTTCATGTCTGAACTATTTCATTTTATTATTTTATTATTTTACAGTTTTCAATAACTGGTTTATTTATATTCCCTTTGAAGTCCTGGAACATATTTGTAATTGCTATTTTTTTAAGTCCTTGTCTTTGATTCAGCTAAGACTTATTTCAGACCTATTTCAATAGAGTTGCTAGGTTCTGAAAAAGGCTAGTTGTCTTGAATTGTTATGTTTGTGCTCTTGTGTTGATATCTAGGCATATGGGATGACTATTCTGTATTGTGCTTCTTTGTAAAAATATCTGGTTTCACCTTGCTTGAGTTTTGTATTTGTTATTTGGTTGTTGCTGCTCACTCTGGATTCAAGCCAAATATGTATGGCATGGGGTCTCTAGTAGAAAGCAGTTCTGTGTGTGATTTGGAAAT